GCACCAAAGTTTGGAAATCTAGGCAGAATGGGGGCTGGTGAGCCAGACAGAGAAATCTTAGAGGTGGGTTGGAGATTTCTCATTACAGCTTTATTAATTGCAAGGACAAAAGCATGCTGTAATTTTAAAATTATTGCCAGATTAGCATTAATATAATTCCTACAGAAAATCCTAATGACTCATTGCTAACGTGAATAAAAAGAATGGACTGTTTTCACTTTGAACTACTTGCCGCCTGGTTGCCTCACTTGCAGTCTACCTGTGATACAAATAAGATAGATGAATCAAATCCCATTGAAATCTAGTGTTTGGCATTTTTCCATGACATGATCCCATGTGATTATCCTTTCAGTTGCATTTATGTCATTCACCCTCAGGGTTATTCCATGAATTGCCTTAGGGAAATGCAACTTGGACATGCCTGAGGCAGTTCTATCTTTGGGTCTCCTTAGCCGCAAGTGTGATGTAATTCCTATTGATTTCAGGAGAACATAGAAACAACTTCCTCTAGAACAGTGGATCTCAACCTGTGGGTCCCCAGATGTTTTGGCCTTCTACTCCCAGAAATCCTAACAGCTGGTAAATTGGCTGGGATTTCTAGGAGTTGTGGGCCAAAACACCTGGGGACCCAGAGGTTGAGAACTACTGCTCTAGAATGAAGCCATAATATTTAAGTGGAGTATTATGTGAGTTAATGGGGTTAGAACATCTACATCAGATGTGTCTTTAACATCGTTGACTTGTACCCTAATGTTTGATCCTAGTAAGTTTGTGTGAGATTCTAGTCTAGGAACACGACTCTAGAAAGTTGCTCAAGGTGATTCCAGTTCTGAATTTATGTTCATAAAATATGATAATATTTTATTTGGTACTTTTATCTATTCATGGGTCCATTGGGAAGTTATATACTACTACTCTTTTTTGGCATGTTCTGTTCAGCGTCCCCTGGTAGTCACTAAATGCTTTGGAAAGAACTATGACTGCCTTGGTTAGACCACATCTGGAATACTGTGTCCAATTCTGGGCACCACAATTGAAGGGAGATGTTGACAAGCTGGAATGTGTTCAAAGGAGGGCAACTAAAATGATCAAGGGTCTGGAGAAGAAGCCCTATGGAGCAGCCCTAAGGAGCAGCTTAAAGAGCTGGGCATGTTTAACCTAAGAAGAGAAGGCTGAGAGGAGACATTATAGCCATGAATAAGTATGTGAGAGGAAGTCATAGGGAGGAGGGAGCAAACTACAAGAAAGGAGATTCCATCTGAACATTAGGAAGAACTTCCTGACTGTGAGAGCTGTTCAGCAGTGGAACTCTCTGCCTCAGAGTGTGGTGGAGGCTCCTTCTTTGGAGGCTTTTAAACAGAGGCTGGATGGCCATCTGTGGGTGGTGCTTTAAATGCAATTTTCCTGCTTCTTGGCAGGGGATTGGACTGGATGGCCAATGAGGTCTCTTCCAACTCTATGATTCATATAGTCAATTGTCCATTCTGGTTAGAAAGTATAGAAATTATCGTACCACATGTGTGGAAAGAGCCAGGTTAGAAAAAAAACCCAAACTGCTCTCTGTGAAACACTGTGGAGAGGAAGGTCAGTAGGCAGGAGAAAGAGACCTGGAATATGTATATGCATTATGCATCTGGAACATGGCTTTTAGCATGAGATAAGTGATTAATGAAAATTGTTGTATAAATATGAGAAATACCACTCATACCCATTCTAGATTTCATTTATAGTCTCAACAGCTTGCACAGTTTCTGTGTTTAATTATCTCTCCCCTCTTGAACAGTGCTTGGGGGATGCAACTAAATTAGTTTGCCTGTTTTATTGAGATTTGACAAATTAAACTTAGAACAACAAAGAAGTGCCTTTTTTGTTAAAAATTTCAGCATCAGAAAATATAAGACACATATCTGTTTGAAACTCATTCTGTTAAATGGCTTAAACTCTTGAATCAAGAATTTGAATATTTATGCCAGGGGTGAATAACCCTGGGCTCTCCAGATGACATGGGACTGCAAATCCCATCATTGCTTACCAGGCCCGTAACCAGGATTTTGATTCGGGGGGTGGGGGCTGAGTCTGAGTGAAAGAGGGTCTACCCTAGCAAACCTTTTGTATCGTTATCCCAATACCCTCATGAATACGGGATATATTGAGTATGGTGATCAGATCATGATATGAATAAACACAACAGTTTAAATAATGCACCAGTAAGGCCTTTTCGCAAACCTTCATGAGAATTTCGGGGGAGGGGGCTGAAGCCCCTCAAGCCCCCCCCCCCCCCCCCCCCCCGGCTACATGCCTGTTGCTTACCATTAATTGTGGAGGAAATGCTCAATGGGGGCCTGCCATTTCTTCCATCAGCCAACTGTGCTTTATATGATAAGCATTTTGCTTAAAAGCCACAATGTAAAATACATTTGCACAAAAGCCAACCTTACCACCTTCCTGTCCATTTCCCCTCAGTTCCATTACATAGGAAAATGATGTATGAATGTGTTCTTAACTGAGAAATTATCATGATTGTGAAGTCAAAATTATCTGTGACCATGTACTATATATACTCATGTATAAGTTTAGTAATTTTAATCACCCCTCCCCCCCCCCCAAAAAAAAAAAATCTGGGCTGGCTTATCCATGTATCAATGTAAGTACTGTACCTTTGCTGTTATAAAGAAAGGTACCATCTCTGGTGGTGACAGGCAAGAGCTTGGTCTGTCCCAAAAGAAGCATTATCCAATATACTTTCTCCACTACGGTGCCATTTCTGACTTATTTAGGGGAAATGGCAGCAGTTGTGGATAGGGGCAGCTGGCAACCTGAAGCAGTACTGGCAATTTCCACTCTTTATGGAATGACTGTCAGCTTATCCATGAATCATATCAAATTAATAATAATAATAATAATATAATAGTAATAAATCTTTATTATATCCCACTTTTCCTCCTCCTGGGACCCAAAGCATATTAAAAACATGTAAACAACAATTTAAATACATTGGTAATAAGTATAAAATAATAATAATAATAATAATAATAATAATAATAATAATAATAATACTTTATTTATAACCTGCTCCATCTCCCCTAGGGGGACTTGGTGCGGCTTACATGAGGCCATGCCCATTGATACAATACAAGCAATATAACACAAAACACAATAAAACGAGCAGAATACATAAAATGCAAAATCAAAATAATATACAACACAACAATATAAAATCAAACATTAAAAACACAGGGAATTTCACTAGGCAGGGCCAGATGCATGGATAAAATTATAAAAAAATTAAAAACACTGGGAGATAGGACAGTGTAACTTATAAGTAGGAGGTTCCAAGAATGAGGAAGGATTTCATTGCACAATCCATAAAATAAGGTGCGTCTAAGGACATTTTGTGCAAAGTGTGGTCAGGGAGAATCTTACATTCAATCACTGAAGGCACATTGGAATAATCAAACAAATATTAAGTAAGTATGCTTACTTTATAATAAGTATAAAATCCATGTGGCCTCAAATTATACTTGACCTCAATTTATACATAAGGTAGACTTATATACAAGTGTATAGGGTAGATAGATAAGAGAAGCTCTGAACTGCCTGCCACTGAGACACACATGTATCTTATGTCCCAATACTCCATATTACATATTACAGTTGCTGTAATTGGGAAGTTGTTTGTATTTGAGGACTATGGCCATTGCCCATGCATGCAGTGGAGCCTACTGGTTTTTCTATAATTGGAGGGATGATTCTGTTCTGAGGTTTAGTCTGATGTATAAAGATGCCATCTAACAGGGCATCTACACTGTATAATGAATGAAGCTCGACACCAAGTTAACTGCAGTGACTCAGTTCCATAGCACTGAGCCATGACAGTTGAAGTGGTGTCAAACTGCATTAATTCTACAGGGCAGATGCACCCTGAGAGTCTGAGTTATTTGGAGATAAGGTACAGCTTTAAAATTTTGAGTAAAATCCATTGTTGAATAACCACCCATTGACACTGATATCACGAAACTCCACTCTGATTGCATATAGTGAAAGCATGCAGTGTTGATCAGGACAAACAACCTCATCTGATGTAGTATTACGATTATGGCAGGCAAACACAACAAACTGCAATGTGCTGGTCTTAATTTTTCAGCAATGATTGTTTATGAGAAAGACTAGTGGCAATATCGTATTTTATTTAAAAATGATACTAGTCGGATTGAAAGTGAGGAATTTTTCCAGTTCGAAATAGTATTTTTTAAATTTGAATCCGAATCTCTTTCAGCATAGCTACCTAATAATAAACTGAGATGAGGGGCGGGGAAGTAAGGTACATTTGGATTTGTTTGACTTATCTTGTCAAAAATGAGACCATACATGCAGTGAAATGTAACTATGTATACTTACTTGGCAGTGGGTTATTTCATGGTGCTTATTTCCAGGGGAATGTATCAAAGATTGCAGTTTTCATGTTGAAAACTTTTAGCTTTAGATTTAATTGAGTGCTTTGGCTTTTGAAAACATTCCCCTATGGGTTTTTTTTAATTCCCCTATAGGTGATGTTTAGCATTTTATTCATTTTACTTACAATTATTATGTTTATACTCATGGTTATTATTGCCACTGGGTGCCTTTTCCAAATCTGAATTTAGAAGAAAAAATAGCAAGAACATAAAAAGATTGTGACATGTTTTGCACATGAAAAATATTTAACAGTAATAAAACATTTGTTAATAGAATTCTAAATGTTGCTTCTGGTCAAGAGTAAATATGACCTGATTAAAGAACAAGATGAAATTGCAAATTGGAAATGAGATTAGAAATACATTTTTCATGAATTTATAAGTACACAGATATTTGGCTGAACTGATTCTTCAAATATTAATTTTACAATCCAAATACAGGCACAAGTGTAACAATAACTATTCTATGACTTGCTTACACTACTTACATCACAGCAGGATTTAAACTACTTTTATAGACCATCAACTATGTTCTTCTCATTACAGTTTCTACTTTGTGGAGCTTGTGGAATACTGTGCGCCAAAAAGAAATCAGGACTTATTGTAAGTTGTTGCATGATTTAATCATACATACCAATAGATGAATTTTAAGCTACTAGATAATCATTTTCTATTTACAAAAGTGAGGAAGCATCTTTGAAAAAGATAGCCAAGTACAAAAAACATTAGGAAAATAATACTGCTGCAGTGGCCAAAACTATTAAACATACAAACTGGTAGGGAAAGAGAATGAATATACTATGGTTTGTGAGGTTCAAAAAATGCCAGAACTGGACTAGTGGTTCTGATCGAGCCATGAATTTTGGCCAGCATGAAAATCATTGTTGAGAGAAAATGAACATACAGGAGGCAAGCTTTCCCAAGTAAGGCAATTAAATTCTTATGTTACATCACCAGGTCCTCCATAGATTAGCTGAAATATAAGATAAGGCAACATAGATGAATGAGAAAAATAGATGGAGGAAAAAGCAAGACAGAAATAAGGAGAATTCTCCTTCCCCATCCAAGCCCTATATTTATCAATAATAATAATAATAATAATAATAATAATAATAATAATAATAATTGTATTTCTTGCCCACCTCTCCTCACGGCTCAAGTCCAGTTACAGCATTACTAAAACATAAACAAACATATTATCATTTTAAAACACTCCATAAAATACATATATTAAAACCTATTTCCACCAAACAAAAATTAGGCATACAGCAGGGGTCCTCAAACTTTTTAAACAGAGGGCCAGGTCACAGTCCCTCAAACTGTTGGAGGGCCAGATTATAATTTGAAAAAAACTTGAATGAATTCCTATGCACACTGCACATATGTTATTTGTAGTACAAAAAACACTTAAAACAATACAATAATTAAAATGAAGATCAATAAACTTATTAACATTTCAATGGGAAGTGCGGGCCTGCTTTTGGCTGATGAGATAGGGTTGTTGTTGTTTGCTTTCAAGTCATTTCAGACTTAGGTTGGCCCTGAGCGAGGGATGGGTAAATTACCATGGAGGGCCGTATCCAGCTCCTGGGCCTTAGTTTGAGGACCCCTGCATACAGTGTTAAACTTAATCTGTCTCAGTAGGCCTGTCAGAACTAGGTCTTCACTTGTATCTTAAATTTTGACAGCTGATCCAGCTGTCAGAGCTCTACAGTTCCACAGTCATGGAGCCGTTGATGAAAAGGTCCTCTGGGTGGAGGTTGGTTGCCAGTCAGGTTTTGGCTAGTTGGAGTAATTGCAGTAATCATCCTGCAAGGGTCCACAGATAGGTTCACAAGGAGTAGGTCCTTTAATAAGAAATGTGTTAGTTATTTAAGTGATTATTACTACCAATCTTTAAAGAATCACGTTCAAGATGTTTTGGTAAGCCTCACTCTGAATTTTATGTTCACATGTTCAGTGAGGACGGGCAAGGAATAAAAACATGAAAAATTGCAGTGGGTAGAAGACAAAGAAATATATAGCAATAATCTTCCTCCATCCTTCCTCCTACTCTGCTCTCTTACTTTTCCTCCTACTATTAAATTTGTGTGTGAAGGATGTATTCCAAATGGTTCTCCGTAATCTTGGAAGCAAAGTCCTCCAATGAATACCAGGTTATATAGGCTATATTTCAGAGGAAATATAGGCTATATTTCAGAGGAAGGCTATATTTCAGAGGAAGGAAGTGGAAAAACTACTTCTGAGTATTCCTTGTCTATGAAAACCCTATGAAGTACATGGGATCATCATAAATGAATTGCTGACCCAAAGGTGAACCATACACATACACACATACACGTTTCGTAGTTGACTGCTCTAGTATTAGCATAACTAGAGTAAATTGGTTCGGAAATAGGCAGTCCTATCCAAAATTTGTCCAGGACTTAATGGATCATTCAACTGTATAGGTCCCAAAGTAAGAGGTATATAGGATTGAAAGTTCCATCATATCAATATCATGAGCCTGTGAAAAAGCTTGCATTTTTGTTGTATGTGAAGCTGCTCTCAAAGAAGCAATCCCTTCGAGCTCATGAGAACTCAGAGAGAATAAGGGATCACTGGAGAAGATTATACCATAGCCTAGACTGCACAGAATAGTTGTCTTGCTTTGGGTGTGGGGAGAAAGTGCAGTAGTTGTTGAAAGTTCTTACTACATCTTAGACTGTTCATAAGATTTTCATTGACATGCTAAATATAGATAGGATACAAAGCCACATTTGCCCTGGATTTGAATGAGTTTGCATTGCAGTTGACTTCTGTACCAGATAATGTGTTTTTAAAAAAATCTTGCCTCTTATCAGATGATACTTTTCTCGGCCTGCTGTATCTGCGGACTCATTGGAGGAATATTAAATTTTCAGTTCCTTCGAGCACTGACAAAGAAAACCTCCTATCTCTACCCATTACATCTTACCTCCATGACTCTTGCATGCATTGGAATTGGTGGTTGCACTCTTTCTTCATGGCTCACTTGCCGGCTAGCCAGCTACGAGCAAAGAAGAATGTTTTCGGAAAGAGAGCATTCACTGCATCACTCCCACGAAATGGCTGAGAAAGTAAGTTGATTTGTTATGTTTCTTCCAGAATCACTCTGTCTTCAGAAAATATTCATTTGCCAGTAGGGGAGAATTCAATTTTCAGCTGTATAAGTCACTAGGAAATGATTTGATGTAAACTTCATTCTATCATAGCAGGTTATTTATGGAAGCTCTCCCTTTTGCAGTGCACCCGTTTCAAGCAAATGCATCCATTGTCTACATTGCTCCATTGTATAGTTTCTTGAAATGCTTTGCCACTAAATCTAGCACTAACCAAATAATTGAATAGATGCTTAATTAATTAAGTCTGTGCACCTCATTGCATGAAAAGATTCAATTATTTTCTGTTCCCTGTTAAGTACTTTGTAAAACAGGGACTTCATCTTTTACATTGCAGAATGCTATGTAAAAGATCAAGCAACATAATTGGCAGCTCCATGTGATGAACTGATTGCTGGATTGTACCACTTCGGCCAGCAATGAATCCTCTCTGTTTTTCAGACAATCCCATTGTCAGATATATTACTTTAGAGTGTGCAAGATGTTCTTCTTAAATGAAAGCTTTCAATAATTTGGCTTTTCTCCTGCACTCTGATGTGGTAAGGTCCACCAACAGAGACTTCTGACTAAGTTCTTTGTCTTTAAGCACTGAGTGAAGAATCTACATTTGTACAAGTGCTGTTGTGTATATTTGACACTGATGTACAGTAATCTATGTGTGTTGTGCGTGCTTTATTTATAATTATTATATTTATATTAGAGATTGAGGGGTATTGAAATAACCGACCTGCCCAGCTGCCCGGTGGTTCCCCCGACACCAGAGTTACCTCCAAGGTATGCTGTATTCTAGGGAGCTGCAACGTTTTTGTTCATTGTAGGACATTTCTAAGAGAAATAAACAAGCAATCTTGTTGGATGATTTGAAATCACTCCCTCATGTCAATAACTATGAATAGAACTTCTAAGAATACAAGATAAAAAATCTACACTGTATGATGTTACAGTTGAAAATAACAACAACTGTAATAACAATACACTTTATTTATATTCTGCTTTATCCCTCCAGAGGGACTAAGAGCGGATTACAATTTTACATATATAAGGCAAATATTCAATGCCTTTTTACACAGTGACAAAGAAATACAATACACATAGGTATAGGCCTTCTCCTTTCCATCATCTGTGTCTGGAGGCAATGCTTAACTCTAGCCGTGAGGAGGTGCTCTTGTTCCATTTTTCCATGCCGAGGAGCCTGTCCATAGACTTTCTCTGATAGTTGCCAGCATGTATGCATGGGGCACCCTCTTATCTCCCCACTGAGGCAGGACCTATTGATCTACTAGCATTACATGCTTTCAAACTTCTAGGTAAGCAGAAGCTAAGGCTGACAGCCAGTAGCTTACCTTGGCTCACAGCTCTGAACTGCTAACCCTCCAGTCAGCAGATTTCCTGCAGCTAGTGGTTTTAACTGCTGTGCTACCATGTTCCCTGAAAGTATATCCTTCATGTAAAATACCAAACCTTATTATTGGCGTCCAAATAATCCATGTTAGAATTATTCAGCTTCCATATTTTTGATACTTACTTTCTTGCTTCAGATTCACAACATTCCCAAACTCAGATATGAGTACATAATCATGTTCCATTGGAGAATAGGATGTCAGTATCAATAATAATAATAATAATAATAATAATAATAATAATAATAGATTTATTACCTGCCTCTCAGCATAATTAAAACAAAAGATAAAACACTATGAAAAGATATGCAACAAAATAGACAGAGTTAAAATACAAGTTAAAATCCACTGATAAAATGCAGTTTAAATTTAAGAACTTAACATTGAATCGATAGGCCTGCCGGAAGAGATGGGTCTTCAATTGTATCTTAAATTCCAGTGTTATTCAAAAAAATGTATCCCAGTTGTTTATTTATTTATTTTGAGCATTTGTATTCCGTCCTTCTCACCCCTGGAGGGGGACTCAGAGTAGCTTTACAACAGGCAACAATTGGAAGCCGAGCATAAATTAAAATAGACAGTTATGGTTAAAACAACAGTTAAAAACAGTTATAAACATTCATTTTTAATATGAAACAATTGAGAAATGACACACTGACTCCCTCACCAAAAGTATAAAAATCACAGTTAAATTTTATATTGTATCTCATATGCCAATATGGCCTTAAAATACTTAATTTATCCAGTCTCATAACTCCCTTTTGATATGTGTTATAAGGAGCTTGCATAATCTTTTGCCATAAGAACAGAAAAAGGAACAATTGAGGACCAGATCATGGGTCTATCTAGTCCAGCATTCTATGGCCAACCACTTGGCCCCAGCAGCCTACCAGGATAGAAACGCAGTAGTGGTATTCTGCTCCAGTTATCTCAAGTTTTTTCTTGATTATACAAACGAAAAGATATACCTGAAACATAGAGTATGGGGAAATATCTACATGAATAATCAGGAAACTTCTTCCCTCCATGGATCATTTTTAGCATGCCTGTCCCCACAGTTCAAAGCAAAAACACTGTTCTCGGAAGTGACCCAAAAAGGCGCCGTAGGGCGTAAAGCTGAAATTCCCTTGTGCCTAGTCTTAGCAATGGAAATTAATTCAAGGAGAAAGTATTGTTCCTTTTACAGCAGTCTGACTTTATTAGTCATGGACATAATCTCCATTTTATTTGCTTAAGTAAACAAGCTCTGTGATTTCATTTAACAACTTTGGATACTTAAGCTGAGATAGTAATTTAGGTATCTCTTGAGCTTTTGATTTAATTTAATGGATAATACTGTATTTCATTAGCAACACCCATTGGCTGTTCAATGGCTAATGGGATGTGAGTTTACTCATGTCACTCTGTTTCCCAGCAGACAGGTGTCTACATCACCACACCCCCACTTCAACCGACATTATCTGGCACCCTTTCTGGAAATCCCAGCAGAGACCAAGGTATCAATGATTGTGGTGGACATTCAACTGCCATCTTTTTCATAATTAAAACATGTATGCCATATCTTTCTTCGGCTGTGTCTATACAGGCCAAATAAAGCAGACTCTCCTTTCAATTGCTGTGGAGAGTCCACATATTAACAGCTAGATTTGCCACAGAAGCAATGCATCCAACTCTTAATCTGGCACAAGAGAAAACAGGATTTACGGTACTCCAGAGCTTCCTGGAAAATCCAGAGTGATCCTGTATTTTGTTGTGGACAGCTGGATCAGACAGAGACCCTGGTGGCGCAGTGGGTTAAACCCTTGTGCCAGGACTGAAGACCGGTTTGAATCCGGGGGCAGCATGGATGAGCTCCCTCTGTCAGCTCCGGCTCTCCATGCGGGAACATGAAAGAAGCCTCTCACAAGGATGGTAAAACATCAAAACATCCTGGCGTCCCCTGGGCAACGTCCTTGCAGACGGCCAATTATCTTACACCAAAAGCGATTTGCAGTTTCTCAAGTCACTCCTGACATGAAAAAACAAAAGCTGGATCAGGCTAGACCTGCTCAATCCAGTGCCCACATGTCCATTGCTTCTGCTGAGATCAGAAAAGGCAATGTCACCAGCAAGCCTCTGTGAAAGAGCTACATGAGAGCCAGTGACACAATGAGGGAACTGTAAGGGAACAGATGACATAGAAATGATGATGGCAGTCTCAAAGCATCCTCAGACTGGCCAAACATCTGTGTGGCAGAAGGACTGCAGGGACACTGCAGGATTGAATTGGGACAGCCTTAGAGCAGTTTACCCTGGACTGTATGAGTACAGTATGTGGAGATCTTGCCTTAGGCCAACGTAATAGCAGGAATATGCCTACAGCAGAGTATGAAATGTTTGGATTTTCAGATGTTTTGAACGACAACTCCCAAAAGTCTTACCATTGATCATGGTAACTGAGCTTTCTGGGGGTTCATGTCAAAAATGTATCCTGCCTTGATGCATCATGGTTGTTCTTCTGGCATCCAACATGATTTAATTCACTAGATTGTCTCTATTATCCACTATATAGAAACACAAATAGGGGAAGAAAGAAAAGGGGTTCCCCTACTGTAATGAATGATGCTTGATGCAGCAGGGGAAAAGATCTCAACTGAAAATGAGGGACCAAGAAATCAATAGACCCAAGTCTATGCACTAAATAAAAGGGGGAGATCAATAGCCCACGAGGTTTGCAAAGGGTTTCCATGAAGAAAAAATGAAAGTAAAAGCTCCATGAAAAGGTAGCTGTTTGACACTGGTTCATAGGGAAAGAACTTAAAGACAAAAAAAAAATCTTATAGGAATGGCTTACAAAGTTCAGCTAGGACATTTAGTTTCATGATATGTTGGAGGGCTATAAAGTATGACTTTGTTTTAATAACTGGCCTATATGCTGGAATGGCTAAGGTCTGCATTGCTGGACCAGCTTCTGCTGCTTTTGTGCATAATATACTTTTGTTTATGTGGGTCATGAATGTCTGTCTCATCAACCTTTATGCCGTCACATCTCATTACATCACAGCATCTTATGGGTGTATATGCAGATTTCTCTTTAGAGATCGGGAGAGTTAAGCCAGCCAAGGCCCACGGCCTGAGAAATTCCAAGGCTTTCCACCTCAGATGACTGAGCCCCATACCCTAATGTGTCGTATATCAAACATGGGCCAATGATTTTAAAGGGAAACCCTTAATTGAGTGGAAAACTAATATGGACCAGATGTGAACTACAGATGTTCTATTGCTTAAGTCTATAGCAGATAATTAGCAATGTGTAAAGCTGAAAATAATCACTTTTAATTGTCTCTTCCAATTTTGATTCTTACAGGAAATGACAGACAACATGTGTAATGGAGGACCTCATCTAATTTATAATGGAAGAGCATACTGAAAGATTTACAGATGCTTAAGGAACAAATGTTTTCAGAATTATCTTTATGGGGAAATGATAGGTGCCAATAACTTGGACTGAAGGCACTGAAAATATTATGGCTTTGATTTGCAATAATTTCTTAACAAAAAAGCGAGCAGCACAGTTGCATCTCTTTTCAGAGATTTGCTTTGATTTTCCTTCCTGTTATTTGAAGATATTTTACTGTATATTTTGAAAAGACACGGTAATGATCATGTCTCTAATATTTCCTTCTTTTTTGTCTGAATATTTTTTCCTGCTAATATTTGAAACTGACTTTTTAGACTCTGCTAAAATTCTACTTCAGAGGACTTTTTGAAATTAAAAACAAAGCAGAACACAACAAGTTACAGACATGAAAGTTTAAAACAAAGGATTTGTCAATTGTAGTAATGGAAATTAGACTTGAAAGGTTTGCCTTTCCTATATGCAGTCTAATGAATGAATTATGAGCATGCTGAAACAACAACAATGTCTTTGTTTTGAAAGACAGAATGCTTAAAGGATGCCATAAGTCAAAACCTGAACAATGCCTTGCTGTAAAGAAACTGTAAATATTTCCAATTTGTGAAGTATATTTCATAATTTGTTCATAAAAAGATGTCAAATAAAAGAAATCTAAAATGCGAATATTTCTGTTATTTTTCAAGAACACCTTGTGAAATGCTTTTAAGATCAAACACAAGAGCAAATAATTTTGGCTGACTTGTAACTTGTGAACAGTTTTAAGACTGATGGTCAGAAATCATTGAGGGCTTTTTATATACCTTCCAACTTTTCACAGATGAAAACTGGGATGTGTGCGGCCAAACAATATCAGTGGTCAAGATGGCAAGAGTTAACAATGAAGAACACACAATTTGAGAGAAATTGCAACTGCTAGTTTTGCCTGGTTCTGCTCTCTCCTCTCTTATTCTTTAAGCTTTGTGTGTGTGTGTGTGTGTGTGAGGAGTGACTTGAGAAACTGCAAGTTTGTTTATATTGAAGTACTGATGCTGATGTTTAATGATTTGTGATGCTATTGCTTTTAAATGCCCAATGATTTTGTATTGTGTATACTGAAACTGTTGTTAACCGCTCTAAGTCGCCTAAGGGCTGAGAAGAGCGGAATACAAATGAAGTAAATACATACATACATAAATAAATAAATAAATAAATAAATAAAATGAGATAACCCCTTCTCCTTCTACTGAAACCCAGAATCTATTGTGGTACCTCTATCTTACCCTACAGACAGGAAATAGTTGTAACATGACTAGCAGCCAATGACAGCTTTACAATCCATGATTTTGTCCAGGTCCCTTTAAAATCTAAATCTTGGGTTTATAGAAATAAATCCCATAGCTTATCCCGTCTATCCAAAATCTCCCTTCATTCAGTTTCATTGGATGACTATGACTGCAATATAGGAGAATAGGAGACAAACAACCCTCTCTGTTATTTTTTTCTGAAAATAATTTATAACCTTTGTTATGTTCACACATTCCATAATTACCTCCCTCCACCAAATAAATAAATACATAAAAACAAAAAACAAATGAATGAACAACCACATATGCTACCTTTTCTTGCAGAGGAAATGTTTTAGGTCCCAGATAATAACATCCACATTGAAGGTTGGCCATCTATCACACTGATCTGTGATGTCTCCTGCAGCTTTGTGATTTAGGCCCAGGATTTATCCATATCCAAATTTACTGTGTGATCCATAGATTGCTGCAAAGACTCCCTGTTCTAACACTGCTGCGACTGTGCAATGTGATTTGTCCCTGTGCCACTGATTAAGAATTGTTTTAAAACTTGCATATGGGGAAATTTTGCCCCCAGACTGGGGGTTGTAATAGCACAGATGTTGCTACTTTTCAGGAGACATCTATGATATGCGTATTTGTGGAAGCAGGACTTGGGCCAAGGACAATGTGTCCAATTAAATGGCTTTTTTGGATATTGTTGCTAAGGTTCATAGAATAAAGACAAATCGACAGAGGACTTTGCACAGCAGTTAGGCTTAACATGAAAGCTCTTGCAAATGCAAAATGAGACACTGCCAAGAATACTGTTCAGATGACCCCATTTCATTAAACACAGAAGCTTTGGTATATGGCATATTGAATATATTCAGTTGGAAATTATTGAGTTTACCATTACCAAATCAAACAGTTTATTCCCCCCTCTGTCAGATGTGCTGTCATGGTACAAAATATATTCTAGTTGGCCTCCAGGTGTTGCTAGGCCATAGTTCCCATAAACCCCAGTGCACAAAACTAATGTTGAAAGAACATGGAGTTGTAGTACATTTCTTACCAATATTGGGAGGGGAAGGAGAAGTACATTCAGACTTTCTCACTGAATCAGTTGGATTAGAAGGAAAGGCATTGAGTGGAAAGTAAGGAATCAGATCAAACTTCCAAAAGATGTAGTTTTCACCAAAGAAGAAGACTTCTAAAAATAGAGCCAGCATGCTGTAGTAGTGGCTCGAGAATTTGACTAAAACTCTTGAGAACAAGGTTTAATCGCTGTTCAGACACAGAAACCCACTCAGTGTCCTTGAGCAAGTCATACACACTCATTCTCAGGGAAAAGTACCCCCTCCCCCCCCCACACAAAAATGTTGCCAAGAAAACCTCCTCATTTTAGGGTTGTCTTGGGTCACAATAAGCATGGAAATGGTTGAAGGTACACAGAAAAATATGGAGGCCCGGTGGTTCAGCAGGCTAAAGCTCTGAGCTGCTGAACTTGCTGACCGAAAGGTTGGTGGTTTGAATCCGGGGAGTGAGGTAAGCTCCCACTGTTAGGCCCAGCTTCTGCCAACCTAGCAGTTCAAAAACATGCATATGTGAGTAGATCAATAGGTAACGCTCCAGCGGGAAGGTAATGGCACTCCATGCAGTCATGCCGCCCACATGGCCTTAGAGTTGTCTACGGACAACACTGGCTCTTCAGCTTAGAAATGAAGATGAATAGCACCTCCCCCCCCCCCCCCCCCCCCCCCCAGTCGGACTCAACTAGGAGTTAATGTCACGGGGAAACCTTTACCCTTACACAGAAAAATATCGTAATTATTATTATTGTAAGGTTTTGAAAACTTTCCTGCAGGCAAATTGCAGATCATTTACTATGTTGCCCTCAGAAACCATCTGAGACTGCTGATAGAGGGGCACGCTGAGTTGGGTGTGGTGATGGTTTTATGATGATGGTGATATTATCTGTAATTTTTGGGCTCGTCCCTTGCAAGTCACCCGAGTCCCCTAGGGGAGATGGTTGGTGGCGTATAAAAATAAAGTTGTTTATATTATTATTATTATTATTATTATTATTATTATTATTATTATTATTATTATTGTGTGTATGTATCTAATAGTTTTTTGAATGATAGAACATAAGAAGTGGATTACACCAAGGCCTGTATTAGGACCAGTGCTTTTCATTTTATAATTATAGAGCTGAAATACCCAAGGGTCATCTAATTCAACTCCCAGGATATAGGAAAAAAGAGTATTCCTGACATTCATTCAACCTCATTCAACTTTAGCTGGCTTTCTTGTTAATGTTAAGGCAGAATCTCATTTCTTGCAGTTTGAATCAATTTGTTCTTATTCTAGTCTCTGGAGCAGCAGAAAACAAGCTTGTGCCATCTTCTACCTAGCATTCCTTCAGATGTTTAAAGATGGCTATCACTTCTCAGTCTTCTCCTTTTCAAGCTAAATATATCCAGCTTCCTAATCTGCTTCACATAAGGCCTAGTTTCAGATCTTTTATAAACCTCGCCACCTTCCTCTGAACACATTCCAAGTTGTCAATATCCTTTTTGAACAGTGGTGCCCAGAACTGTTAAAAGTATTTCTGGTGAGATTCGATTAAAGCCAAGGGAATATGATGTACTGTTCTTAGAGTTCTGTTCATGTTCTCTTTAGATATTTGGTTGGCCACTGCGGAAAGTATGCTGACCTAGATGGATTGTGCTCTGATTTAGGAAGGCTTTTCTTATGTTCTTATGATAATTTTAATAGTATTTCTGTGGTGTTTTGGAGCTTTTCTGAAACACCTTCTTACTAGGAGAATTTGGAAAAGGCTCCGTTCTTATGGTCCAAGTAGTACACAAATTAATCCTAAGTTATTCTGCAAAATTTTGGTTTTGATCTGCCAAATTATTTTTTAAAATACCTCTCTGGTTTATATTAACATTTAGGCAGGCTAGAGAACAGTTATGCCTGCTGATCTGTGAGAAATGAGTTATGTATTTTTTATGATACATAAAATGGTTTGAATTTTTACAATCAGAGGAGAAAAACCCTTCTGATTATGAGAAGCAAATTGGTGCATATGATATAAAGCTAAAAGCTTTGCATTACTCTGTCCTGAATACATTTTTATCACATTAGGATGAATTACCAACTGCTTGAACAGTGGCAGAGCCGGGTTCAGTACAAGGCTTACGCAAAGCAATTCATTATCTCATGCAGACCAATGTTCATAGCGAGAGCTTTTCTTTGAGATTTTCGCCTTGTCACGTTATCACAAAGCTCTCAGGCTGTCAGGAGCTGAGATATAATTGGATTCTGAGTAATATAGCTTTTAAAATCTCAGCCGGCGAGTTGTCTATTTTTAGGGTATGAGATAGGAGTTTAACAATAGTTTCTCTAATAGCCTTATCACTCCCATGACACAGAGAGCATTGTAGCTAAGCTACACCTGTATCACAACGAAATGCTCCTAGGTATATATTTAGTCTGGGAAAGATGGTGAATATGAAAATCTGCAGTCCGCACTTGACAAGATATTTCTCTCTGTTCCTAAATAAATATGTTGTGCAAGATATCCAAGATCTATGATTTGAGGGACAATCCAGGAAAAAAAAATATTTTCCTATTGTTCAAGTTACATTGGCCACAATGTATACTAAGACATGATCCTATTTTCCTTTTTAGCTTCTGTCTTTCCCCTGATCAACAGAGGAGTAGCCCTTAATCAATTACAGTTGAAATGTCAAAACCAACAATAACAACTGGGTTGCTGTGAGTTTTCTGGGCTGTGTGGCCATGTTCCAGAAGCATTCTCTCCTGACGTTCACACTTGCCTCAAACAGACAAGAGTTCTTTCTCCCACAATGGACATTCCACAGATATATAAACCTCTATTGCCTAGTTTTCAATAGACTTCACAATCTCTGAGGATGCCTGCCACAGATGTGAGTAAAATGTCAGGAGAGAATGCTTCTTTCTGGAACATGGCCATATAGTCTGGAAAACTCACAGCAATCCAGTGATTCTAGCTATGAAAGTCTTTGATAACAATAACATCCCTTAGCTATTCTAAATCGAATGGTGCCAAAGCTTTGTATTATTGACCATGAAAATAATTACAAAAATACAATTAAAGGAAAATGATTAACATTAAAATTGTTGTATGTCAGCCTGTTCAGCCTGTGATTATGTCTGATGTTCATGTTGATGTTCATGATGGCAATGATGTTTATGTTGATATTCATGATGGGAATGGTGTTCCTAAAGATGGGCCTGGGGATGACGGTTTGCTTGGGAGAGATGCCTGAACTGTTTCAGGAAGAGATGCCTGAGCTGTTTCAGGAAGAGATGACTGAGCTGTTTCAGGAAGATTCCCAAGGCCACAGT